CTGAAAATACATCATTGCGATTAATTTTTCTCCCCAAATTTCGAAAATTTTTCGACTGCAAAATTTTTTTCTGAGCTAAGAATTTTGAAATTCGGTCGGAAGATCGAATTTCGAAATCCCAAAATATGAATTCGATCGAGGAATTCTCAATATGGGTTGTAATACCGAATTTTGGAGTGTTGTGAAGTCGCTTCGGTCGGATTCAGACCAAACTGAAATTTGGTTCGGATGCCATCGCTCCATCTTGGAACCAAATATCTCATTTGTTGCAGTCAATCTTTTTATAAAGAAATTTCATGAATAATGCTCGATCGTGTATTTTTTGTACAGCCATCTGGAGCGATGAATAAATCGCATCATTCCAAGCCGTAATAAAAACAATTTTGCTCATCTCTTGAAAAATTCGGTCACTTTCCTAGTTGGTACGGTGTGATAACTTTGTACATTTACATGGTGATGCATAGGTTTTGCTGATTGATGGATCTGATCTCAAACTTTCTCTTTTAGGCTGGAAATACGACGCACTATACATTGATGCATGTCCAACGAAATATCCATATGAAATCGAAGTGATGTGCCCCGTTCCAGTATTTGCTGACGAGAGCAACATCGCGTTAATGAGGGATGTTCTCAAGGATAACGGTAAGAAATTTCAATGATGCTCATGAATGGAGGGTAACAACCTGCTGTTTCAATTACATCCACTTCCTTGAAAAAATATAGAGATAACCTTTCATGTGTTCAAATTTTCAAAAAAAAGAAAGGATGCAGCATTCATCGAGCATATTTCAACCGAAGACTGTTTGCCCAAAAATTGTTTAAGTAAACTGTAAAGATTTTGATTTTCTTTGAATAGTGATAAGAAAATTAAAATGTTGTTTTGCATTAGCTTCCTTTCGAATTGAATCACTTTTTCAGGTTCATTGGTGATAAAAATGCTAATTTTCGCAGAGGATGTTGATGAATCAGCACAAAGGGTTCGTTAGTACATTTCGAATGCATTCTTAAAATATTTCATAGATGATCATTTCATAGAACATCACTTTGATATAAATCATTCGTTTGAGTAATGAAGTATTGTTCCGTGTTTACGTGCGCGTCAAAACGATTGTTTGAATGTTATTTCAGGTAGCCGATAAATACAGGAAGTATTTTGCGAATTGTGCGATACTCGAAATGGTTACGGCAAACAATCGCGTGAGTTTATAGCACTTCGAATTCGTTGCAAACTTTAATTAATTCAGCACAAGAAAACTCCCATCCCATATGGAATCTGTAACAGTGCTATGACCCACCTCACGCAATGCCTTTCGAATGACAACATTTATTCATTAGTTTCTTATTTTGC